CGGCGCTACGGCCACGCGCCGAGGCTGAATGCGCAACTCTGCTACCGTAGGTAGCAGAGTTGCGCATTCAGCGCAACTTGAGTGCATACAGGAACTCTAAAGCGCGATCCAAACCAACGCTTCTTTTTGCGCCTGTAGGTCGTGCGGCTGCGGATGTGACGTATTTTCGTGACGTCGCGCCGCTTCTTCGCTCCTTCCGGGCGCGCACAAGAAAGTTGGTTGATTTCAACTTCTTTCTCAACGCGCACAAAAACGCGCGGTGACGTAGTAGGGCGCTCCTGTGTCCCGGCCAATCGGTGGAGGGCAAGCTAGTTCCGGCTCCGCGTTTCTCGCCGTCTGGCTGCCCTCCCCTCCCCCCCCCCCCCCCCCTTTTTTTCTCTTTTAACATGACAACGCGATCTCTCTCTCTCTCTTTCTCTCGCCGTCTGGCCGGCCAGTCTGTCGCAGTTGCACCTTGCTTGTGCGCTCGTGCCTTCGTGCCTTCGTGCGCTCTCGCCCGAAGTTTCGCCCGTCCAAACCAAAGCGCACGGTTCTGACTCAGAAAGCGCGCCCGGAAACAGCAAAAACGCCACGAAATGCGTCACATCCGCAGCCGCACGACCTACAGGCGCAAAAAGAAGCGTTGGTTTGGATCGCGCTTAATCCTTCCAAAACCGGCGCGCCCCATCGCGGCGAAATACCACGCAATGCACTCTGGGAACTAGTTGGCCACTCAGTTTCGATTTCGACTGAGCAGCTTCATCTCATGCTATCACGCCGCTACCGAACGCGCTGCTTGCGTTTTCGATTATCTGACTTTTTACGAATGTACACTACACTCATTCTCCTATTCTCGAGCAATACAAAACGAAGACCGGGGCACTTTCCTTGGTTCTCGAAACTCCGGCTATTGTGCATGCGTATGCAAACGTAGTAAGACGTGGCTTAGTCACCTCACCCCACGAGTGCATATTTGAGCTGAATGTCAGTAATCCCGTCTAGTGCCAGTCAACTACAACTGAAATTTAGTCACCTTGAGGTCTACACGCATTTTGTTTGCCAAACGTCCGCTACTTGTTACTTCATTGGGAGAAAAGCAAGCCGCATCCTCACAGGAGTCTCAAAGTTGAGCCCAGCGTTGGCGCATGAACTTTTAAGGAAACGCAATAAGTTCGACTTCACTACTGCACAAAAGTTACTGTGATGTCTTCCTCATGTCATCACATATCTCCCACACAAATTTTATGCTGATAGAAGATTAAGTTTTCGCAAACGCTGAGATCAGCTAGCTACGACGGAGGCCCTAACAAGCGACCCCTATTCCTTACTAAGCCTTTTTGGACGAGCTTTTACTGACGCCCAAGATCTGTGCCTGAACGGTTTGCCTGAAATTATCTAGGCATACTCAGTCAGGAAGAAAGCAAACACATAATACATATTATGGCCATTAGCAACCGTCAAATGCGCTTTGAATAATTTCGTTCGTTTGGCGCACCGTATAGGGGTTCATGCTAGTGGTGCAAAACTATCGATAGTACTATCGATAGTCGCCAGAAATCTGACTATCGATAGTGAAAAAAACTATCGATAGTCGACTATCGAAAAACTATCGATAGTCGACTATCAAAAAACTATCGATAGTGCTATGGATAGTCGACTATCGATAGTACTATTGATAGTCGTTTATCGAAAAACTATCGATAGTCGACTATCGAGAAACTATCGAAAAACGATCGATAGTCGACTATCGGAAAGCTATCGTTAATCAAATATCAGAAAACTATCGATAGTCGACTATCGTAAACCTATCGATGGTACTGTCGACGATTTACTATCGATAGTTTTGCGACACTAGTAGTTTGCGTCGCTCCCTGTTCTCTTTTTATCCCTTTATTTTATTATTTTTTTTTTTTCAAATGGGACACCAACTAGGCCAGGCACTTACCATCCCAACTTTCGTTCAGCTTTCAGTGATGACGAAGACGTTAGTTTGGGCGAGGAGAGGAGAAGTGGGGGCGAGGCGGTAGGGCAAGGGTAAGACGGGCCGGGGAAGAGGAAGCAGACGGAACGCTGGAGAAGAGATGGGGAAACCTCCTCCTCTCTTTAGCGTTCCGTCTGCTTCCCCCTCCCCGACCCGTCTTACCCTCGCCCTATCTTCTTGAGTTGTAACAAGACTATCGATAGCACTATCGATAGTATCGTTAGTCGCCAGTATAGTAAAAAACCATCGATAGTCGACTATCGAAAAACTATCGATAGTACTATCGATAGTTCTGAGACACTATCGATAGTTTTGGAAAGTATCGATATTCAATTTATCGATAGTTTTGCAACACTAGTTCATGCCCGTCCGGCACACTTCCGCCGAACGGTGCGGCATTCTTCGCACAAGTGCTCGACTTTTGCTTTCTTAAAACGGTTTGTATGTGCAAATGTGCCTATGTGACTGCAGGATAACTTTATGCGCATACGCGGTGTTGAATATTAGTGGAATGCAAGCGGGTGGGGACTTCACTTCGTGCAGTGCTGTGGGGCAGTACAGATAAGAGACGAGAAGTGTGTTCAAATGCTGCTTTTAAATGGCGACTCCGAGTTTTACCTCGCGTACTCAGGCGTATTAAAAAGAAAAAGCAATTGCAAAAAGTTATATTTCGTCTATGGACGCACAAATCAAACAAACTTCCTGATCAACAACACTAATGTAAAGGCGGGAGCTCGATGTATGCATACTTATTGCTTGCTACAGCTTGTCGATTCCTACACAAGCAAGATCCTCGAGCTTCGCAGCGTCAAGATTCCCACCACTGGCTCGTCCACATACCTCGAAACGCTAACAGAAAGGCTCAAGTACAACAATATAACAAGCATGCGTTACACCGAGAGGTTCGCGTGGCGCCCCCTCACGGCGAACCTGGGTGACGTCACGGCGAGGAGAGAATTTTTCCCCGACTCGGCCCCGCTCGCCCTGTGGAGGCTGTGACGACGCTAGCTGTCGGCGCGCTCGTTTCTATTTAATTATTTTTTGTGAGCGTTTTTCGTAGGGAGTGTAATGAATGAATCGGCAGGTAATGTATACTATTTTTCTTTTTTTTTTGTATCGCTGTTTTTAAACAAGATCGCCGAAGCAGAAAAGCTGCATGCTGCTCGAGCAACATGCCAAATACAGTATGGGCCATGAGGAGAGAATCACAAGACAGCCCAAGTGCAGGGGCAAAGTATAAAACAAACAAAAAACCCCCCAAAAAACAAGGAGCATTTATTATATACATTTCTCGCATTTCACCTTTGCTGGATTCGGATAGTATTTCAATACGGGTGGTATCTGTGGAATTGCTTATATCAACCCTCAAGTAATGTATAACAAGCGTAAGCGAAGGTGTCTAGCTCGTTATTAGTCCCTTAAGCCCTAAAATTGAGATTTTACTTAAATCGAATTGTCCTGCAGCTAAAATACCAGAAGCTTTTGTCACGCAGACTGTCGTCCTTCATAGGTTCTACATTTTTTGCTACTGGTGCTGCATCTCCATTGGACGGACGTTCGAATGCTTGCTTTTACTCCCGTTTTCCTTTGTTGTCAGAGAGTCCAGCTGTAGGGAGGTTGCAGGCTGAGGAAGCTTTTGGGGGACCTGCAGCAGTGTCTTTTTTAATTGGAAATGACAATTCAGACTAAACGGTGTATTTTCCGAATACCCAAGGCTGGAATAAAGAATGCCAGGAAAAAGTATAAACATTCCAAATTACGGCACTACTGCTGTGCATATTTTGGGCAGTTCAATACATATCATACAGGCAACTGGGGGCTATTCGGCCGTTTTTTCTGCTACGTATGAACTAATTTCCAGTAATTGTGCATCTTCTAAAAAATATGCCTGCATACGTGTATAAACTATATGACTAATTCACGAAGAAGCTACATTTATGTAAAACAACCTTGCTCCACGAGCACTTCCAAGATCATCAGACACTGCAGGGCCTTTAAAACATCTGCGAACCAGCGCATGCAGAGTGGCAACGCAGAGTCGGGGTCGCGAGCTAATTTGCCGACCACTTAAAGGCCCATGGTATAAATGCCACTTCAAATGCCTTAAAAGCGGGATGTAATATCGTCCTCAATCATGAACATGCAAGCAACAGAATTCCAGCGTTTGAAACACTTGCGCCACCGCTTCACCGACCCCTCGCAAGATTGTCTTGTGTCGAATGGAAAGACGGAAAGGTTCATCGGCGGAATTGCCTCCACCGATAGCTTTCGGGATTTGTAAGCCAATTTTAAAGGTAAAAGAGACAAGCAGGCTTATAAAATGTACGGAAGCACGTCAATATCGGCCTAACTCAACGTCTTGTACACCGGGTAAACAAAGTCCAGCTCCTCGAAGAGCTTGCGGCACACAACGCCAGACCAGGAAACCGGTGCTGGGAAGCGAGCCGATGCGAGATCGCGGAGCGGAGTCCTCTTCTTGACGTCACGGTACACCTCACCCAATCAGGGCACGGCGACCGCAGCGACGCCCTCGGGGCTAATACGTTTCGGGCTTGTGCTAAAGCTTCGAGGTCTAGCCATCTAGGTTAGTTTAGAGACCACAAATGACGCCCTCGGGGCCAGAGAACATGAGATAACGACCGTTTATAGTCCACGCCCTGTGTACAATCTCTAGTCGACGTGTCGATCGAAACCGAAACCATGCCACTCTCCTCCCTGGCCATCTAGTTCCCAGAGTGCAACGCGCGCCGTGTTGCATGCAGGGATTTATGGAAGTAGTTGGTCCCTTCAGTCGGGTGCGCCAGAGGTGCAACCGAAGGAGTGCTGGACGCGTCACCGGGAATTCACTACGACATAATTACACGATGGATAGATTGGTTCCCTGCAGCTAGCGATCGCTTAGTGGTCTCCTTAATAAATACATGGAAGATGCATGCTTTGAGGACAATGATTTCAGTAACTCTTCAACACACAAATATTAAGATTTCCTGAAAACATTTGCAGGGCTACAGCCTCAGATTTCATACTGTCACATCCAAGAGAAGTCGAAATGCATATTTTTACTTCTGGACATAAAATTATACAACTGTGAACCACTCTTAATATATTCCGTGCACATATGTAAGCAGAACAATTCTTCAGTGGCTAAATAACCCAGCATCCTGAGGGTATCGTGTACAAAGAACACAAAAATGCAATGCGAGAGAATATCAGTGCTTCCAAGGATTTTTCACACGTGACTCGGCATTGAAGGGTCGAATATCACACACACAATCCAGCTCTTAATAGTCTTGAAGGTTCGGTCCCACAAATGAGCATTCAGGCCAAGATGTTGGACAATATACCAACACATGTACTACAGTATACCACAGACAAACCACACATATTCAACACTGGCAGCTTTCTAGAGATGACTACTGTAATGCCAACAAATTGAGATAATTAAATATTAAAATAGCAATGTGCTTCATTCATACAACGTGACCTCAGAAGGGGTCAAATGGGGCAGAACCTAGCAAACAATAGAATTACTTGAGTTGCTAATCAAGCAGTTATACGACTCAGGAGAACCAAAACGGGCCATGACATGGAAGTGAAATATGCAGAGAAATGGTGAACGGTCGGATTGCAACCAATGGGTGGAAAGATCAAAGAATGTAAATGCATGATTAAAACACACACTATATTAACACCAGATCAGAGGGTTTGCGAACATTTTTCCCTCCAACTCTTCTTAGATAGCGGAATATGAAATATTTTAAAAACTACTCGAGGCACTTTGTATCAAATGCTTTGTAGGAATCAATGCAAAGAAAAACCAAGTTCACCCACTCAACAAAGACTATGGGTTCTTACTCGGCAAATTTCTGGGCCTTCAACTCCACCAATAACAACAGAAAGGTTCTAACAACGCAATTGCAAAAATCTATTAATGGCGACTAGAACTCAAGGTGCAACAAAAAGGTAATGATGAGAAATGTCATTACCAAAGACCTGGCAAGAGACCATCAGTTTATCTTCCCACAGAACCATGGTACAAAGTTCATTCATTTGCATCCAAACGAAAAGTAATATCATGGTGAAATACTCTGAAGCAAAGCATAGCAGTGAAAACACTGCTTGTAAAAACATAAAAATATAAGCAAGTACTAAGAACAGAACATTTGTATAAGCCACTAGAAAATGTTATCATAAACATCATCACATCCCTGCAATGGTTCTCCATATAGAGGTTGCTTCATTCAACCCTAAAAGTATATAATTTCACAAACTACAGTAAAATCTCCAATGCATGCATTACATTTTTAACTGAAAATTGAAAAGGACTGTCATCATCTGGAATTGGGCACTCAGAAACACCATTACTATCACCGAGGCAGGCATAAAATTTAGGTGCCAATTTTGCGGTATGTTAATTGCTACATACCTTGTCAGAAGACACCAGATTATGAGCAACACAGCATTGAAAAATTAAATTTGCATAGCATAGCTGGTACCTGGATTCCTTAGGGACTATAAAGTTACACAAACATTTAGTCTTCCAAAGCCATGGGAATTGGGCATTTTGGATCAATGTATACATACATTATATTCCACAACACTGAACATCACAGGTACACACAAGGACAGTGATCCCTTAATGCTCTGGCACACTTGGTTTTGAGTGAAAAGTGGTAATGTTTAGCAAGCCATATACATGAAATATGTATAGCTCTCAAAATAGCAGGTATCTCCTTCACCAGTCACAATCCAGCTTTGCTACAACACAGACCATGTTTGAGCCACATCATACAGTGGTCTGCATCTTTTATGTTTGTAAGTTCATAAAGAGACACTCTACTGCTTTTCATATAACTACAATCATTTAAAGAATCTATGGAAGACAATACAAAAAACATAAATCTGCACACCGGTCATCCAGATTTAAAGGGGTCAGGACATGCCAAAAATAAAAGAATGAGATAACTATACTGCTAGGATCCATTGTATGTTTCTATATATTTTGCTAAATTTATTTCATAAATGGCGCGACAGTTTCATGGATAAATTGATTTGTTCACGGGACCCTCGGGCCCACCCCATTCGGAAAGGCCGCCATGTTTGGTGGGTCGGCGACGTCACTCGCCCAAAATGCGGCGTCCAATTGCATGCAATTGCAGACTTGGATATCTCGGCGTCACACGCTTCATCTTCCTCGTTTACCTTTTGCCTTTCGATACAATAACGTCTACAGCATCGCTCGCTTCGTCAGTCTTCAACACTGATCGCAGCAGCGATGAGGGCGATTGTTATCAGGGGATGTTGGAAGTTGGTCATCTTGACTTTGACCTGCTGGCGACCAGCTTCAGTGAGGACGATAAGATTGCCACAGATGACCTCGCCGTCATCCACGACGATCTCACATGTGCATGCAGGATGGAAGGTCAAAGGGCAAGGGGGCGAGAGCGAGTGTAGAGCGAGGGTGTGATCGTACCGTGGCGAGCTTGGGGACGCCTAAAGTGAGAGAGCGTTCAACTAAGCATCATGGTTACGCGGTTTATGGGCACCATGGTGACTAAATTGGGCAGTGTCGCTTGGTTACCAGGTGAAAATTATCTACATTAGTAAACTGAATATTGCAATTACTATAGCTCTAATAATCATGAACCTTGGTGTATATACTAAGTAGCCTACGAGCATTCCATTTTAAAAATCCACCTGTTTGATTTTTCGAGTCCTAACCCCTTTAAATGCCTGGCCTTTAAAAAATATTTGTTCCTCTGTGCAGTATGATCCTCATTGCTTATATTCAGTGGAGACAGCAGGTTTAGAAAATTTCAAATATCAACTTTGAAATGCCAAAAGGATAATTTTAGAACCCTTTCTGCACTGAAGGAAAGCACACAATTACTATACAGTTAACATCCTCCTCAAGCAAAAATGCCAAGAGCAACTGATGCAGCAGGACATTACAAATCTGACTAACTTATCTTCAGACCATAGCCAGAATTTCAGAATGATGAGGCACAAGTTTTTCAGTTTCTCTGTGTTGAAGTTTAGGGGTCATTAATACAAAATAATCACGGAAATGTCCCAATTAAACACGAGTGCTATGCTGTCGAAGTAAAAGCTGTCTGAAGATGGTCGTCCTGTTTGTTCTTCCTTAATGAACACATCCAAATGTGCAACAGCTACATCAGTGAAGCATATTTTAGTGTCTACAACTTGACACACAAACAAGCGAGATTCTATAATGCCTCTGGGTAAGCACAACAGTGTTCTACAAGTTTTTATGAAAAGACCTTGTTCCTTATTCACACCAATGTGTAAAATCTGGCAGTTTTACAACAGACTTGCACAAAGTGTACTAGTGTAAATCTTGAATTCACAAGCAGAGTAAGCAAATCTAGTGTCTAAAAAGGTTTGACATTTAAAAGAATGTATTAACAGCTGTGTTCTGAGCAATGTGCAAGACAGGATCACAGCACTCCATTAAAATCGAAGTAGACAGGTAAAAAAAAATCTCCTTCAAACATGATCATAATAATCATAATAATAATAATAATAATAAAAAAAAAGCTTTCATGTAGTGAAGCTACAAAATTGCTTAGAGCAGGCACTGGTCTGGACTATTAGAGATGCATTCAGAAGCTAATGAGACATTTACATCATCTGAGAACCTAAGAACGAGCATGATTCGAACAGGTCTTGGCCACTGGACTGAACTTCTCAATTGTTAAGGAAAACTGCAAGAAACTGTTGCTAGACAGCATGAACTTGGCCCAGAGTGTTCTCTACCTGCTGCAATCTCGGTCGGTAACATCTGTTCGACAAAAGTCTGAACAGGTTAACGCTCCGTATCCAGTGCCTTTGTGATGCTACAATTATGAGCTCGATAAACTGGTGTAAAAAATGCTCCCTCTTGCTGAATAAGAATACAAATCCTTCACAAAGTCTCCATCTCAAGTGCAACAGTCAAATTTTGCCAGCAATCATCTTGTACTCAGACATTAGATCAAGGCCGACACTCATCACACGACACACACATCAACCAAGTCCATGGAACCCTTTTTTAGAGAGTTCTGGCTGGCCTGCTTGCGCCTGAGGGACAAAGTCCGCATGTCTACAATCGACTCGTAGATTCCCTCATTGTCTGTGGACCTCGGCATGGTTGAACAAGGGGTAGCCAGTCCCTTGTCATGCAGTGCAACTTCGTGACTCGCAAACGTAAAGTCTGCATCTCTCGGAAAGTCAGCGTACACAGGAGGCGGTGGAAGACGAGTCTTACGGACATAGAGGCAGAAGCAGATCGCCACCACCAAGACCACAACCAAGGCAGTGGCCGTGACTATCGGCACCACCGTGTACAGGATTGCTCGCAACTCCGAGTTGGAGGAGGCCCGCGAATCATCAGGAGGGCTGGAGGTCGGAGCTTGTGGTCCCGAGAGCGGGATGTTGAGGATGTCGCTTGGCTCGCTGCTGCCCAAACGGCTGTGGGCCACAAGGTAGACCTGGCATGGCTGTGAAGGATCCAGGCCAGAGAGCAGGTAGGAGGTTTGCTTCGCCGAAGCCACAAACACCTCCTTCCAGGAGTCGTCTAGCTGACGGTAGTGAAGAGTGTAGCCCGTAACACGCTGAGTTACTGGTGCACTGAACATCCAACTGAGTCGGAGAGAACCTGCATCTACCGCTGACACGCTCAGCAGGGGCGCAGGGGGAAAGTCCCCATCCAAAGTCGTCACTGTCAGGGGTGCCGATGGAGGACTGCTCCCCACTATATTGAACGCTTTCACCACTATTGCATACGACGTGTCCTTTGCGAGGCCTCGTAACGTAAAGCTACGGGAGTTAGCCGCCACAGTGTGGAAGGAGTAAAAATGTTTCTTGGAAGAATCTGATGCACTAGTGTAGCCGACGTAATAGCCAAGAAGCTCTCCATTCCAATCGCTCTCTGGAGGAGGGCTCCAAGTAACGAGCACAAACGTGGCGCCCGACTTTTCAATGCGGACATTCACGGGGGGACTGTGGGGCTCCTCCTGCGTCGTTGCGAAACGAACTGTGGGAGAGGGCTCACTGGAACCGGCCGAGTTGATTGCAACGATGGTTAGTCTATACTCGGTGGCAGGGTGAAGATCTCGGATGAGAGCTGTAGTGACACCACCCTGGATGCTTTGGTTCACTGCTTTGTCATCTCTGTGCGACCAAAAGCGCACTTGGTACGACAAGACTGGAGACCCAAGAGGACTCTTCCAACGGATCCTGGCACTACGACTCCACACATCCGACACTTCCACATCTGTAGGATTCGACGGTGGCTGCAGAACATTAAGACGAATTGATTTCCGATCCTCCCCATATTCATTATGAACCACACAAACATAGTGGCCTGCGTCTCCAACTGCGACGTGTTTCATGACCAGAGACGACACCAGTCTCTCTTTTTGCACATCACTCGACACAAGGACCCGATCATAAAGCTGACCGTTTGAGGTTATCGTTTTGTCTCCTTTCATCCAGACAACTGTGACGGGGTGATCGCCGGTCGCTATGCAAGTAAGGTTCACTGTATGGCCAGATTCTGCACTGATGTGCTGCGTCAATACTTGTGCCCGTGCCACTGTATACACAGTGACTGCCACAGCCTTCTTCAATCCTATCCCTATACCGTTACTGACATCGCAGGTGTACATGCCAGAGTCGGATTTCTGTACATCCCGCACGATGAGGGTGCCATTACTATACACCCTGTATTTGTCGTAACCACCTCCTGGAATGGTTCCCAGCGTGAAAACTCTGTCACCATTGTCGTGCGACCAGCTCACTCGTGGCACGGGCGATCCTTTCGCTTGGCAGTGAATTAGCGCAACGCCGCCCTCGGGTATCTTCAGATCTGCCGGTTTGTCTACCCACTCGGGCGCAACATTCACGACAACATCCACCGACGCATTGTCCTTGCCCGCTGCATTGCTCGCCACGCATGTATATCTTCCGGCGTGTTCCTCGTTTAACGGTTTGAAAGTCAGCGTAGACGAATACGTCCCCGTCTGCTCAGAAAGGGTTGCGGAAAACACGACTCGCTTGTCATTACGGAACCACAAGATTTCTAAAGGAGTGTCGCCTACAGCTACAGTGCAGGTCAGTCGGACTTCGGTGCCGACTACGAGGTCTTTAGGAAGCGTTAGCGGAGTCAGTTTGGGCGGCTGCTGAGCCCAGGCAAAGAGCCTCAACTCGGAGCAGATGGACAGGAGGACCAAACAAATAATTACTACCATTGCTTTTGTTATGGGTCATGGGATATTATTGCCGAGCGGATGCCGATTTCCTTCCTTCGATTTTTCGGTCTCTGAATGTGCCTCGCGGGCAAGCTGTACTCACATGGTTATTTCGAAGCGTTCCGGGCGCTGTCCTATTAAAATTCATTGTTCCTATCAATTATCTCGACTTGTTGGTCACCGCAATCCGCAAGGCCTAGGGCATAGCCTAGGGCCTAGGGGCACAAAAACAAACACAAGCTTCCCAGTGGCTTCCAGCTCCCGTCCCCTCGTCGTCGGTCGTGATGTTGGCGGGGGCCGCAAGAGGGCGCAGCTATTCCGTTCTGTTTTCTGAGTTACTGGTAGATTCGTCCGCTCACCGCAACTCGACTGAGTTGCGGTGAGCGGACGTGTTTCCTGGTTCTCCTCGAGCATCCGAAGCTAAGTGCCAGTTTTTCTTCTTTTCTCTCTCTTTTTTTTTGAGAGTTGATTGGAAGTGACTATGCGGTAGCAGTATTAGGTTTGAACAGCAGCAGTTAACGTTAGTTTCGCAAAGTAGGCTCTGTTTGAATTTTTGGCGGGAAGGGACGGTTTGTTCCCGGTCTAGACATGGGTCTAGATTTGGGTCGGCATGACAAGGGTGGGGACGAGTTGGTGCAGTGCGAGGGGTGTGGGAGGTGGTGTTACCTGGAGGAGACGGGTTTCGGGAGCCTGGAGGTGGCGGCGGAGGTGAGTTTCGAGTGTCGGCTTTGTGTGAAGCTTCAGCAGGTAACTGGGGAATGGGAGGGTAGAGTTCGGGAGATTGAGGCCCAGCTTAAGGCAGAAGGAGAGAAGCGGGTGGGTCTCGAGGCCCAGGTAGAGGAGCTGACTAGGCAGCTTAATCATGAGAGGGAGCAGCGGGTCGGCCTCGAGAAGCAGGCGGAAGAGCTGGGGGAAGTATGGAAGGCGGGTTTAGAGGAGCGTAAGAGGGAGTGTGACAGTAGGGTAGAGCGCCTGGAAGGGGTAATTCGAGCGAGTGAGAGTAGCGAGGGAAGAAAGGAGGAAGTGTCAGTTCTAGCGGGACGAACCACCAGTCTGCAGGCTGGGGTCCCTGGTGGTCGGGAGTCCGGCCTGTTGGCAGGCGGGCTCGACGACGCTGGAGAGCTGATTGAACCTCAGCTCAATGGCGCCTTCGAGCAGCAGGCGTCGGGCAGTCAGGTGACAGGAGATAAGTCGCAGGACAAAGGCGCGCAGGCACCAGGGGGATCTAGGGTACTGGTAGTGGGGAGCTCTAACGTAGCACGGGTTAGGAGGGGTGTACATAACAGGGTGAAGGGAGACCAGAGGGTAACCGTAGAGGTCCAGCCAGGGAAGTGTATGGTGGATGCTATGACCGCAGCACGTGAGGGGGTGTGGGATAACCGGGAGGGAAGGAACCTAGTAATAGTTCATGCGGGGCTTAATGATGTGCTGAAGGGTAGGAGCCAGAACCTCGGAAAGCAGCTAAACGTGGGAATACGTAAGCTGAGGGACGTGTCTGAGAATGTGCATGTGGTTGTGTGCACCATTCCAGAAGTTCGGGGGCAGTCCGGGTTAACGGAGAGGAGGGTTGTCGAAGCCAACGGAGTAATTAAGGGTATGAGTCGACAGCTTCGGTACGACGTAATGGAAGTAAACAGAGAAGTGTACGAGGCTGGCTCCCGCCCTTTTGCAGATGGCATTCACTACAGTGAGGCCACGGGTTACAGGGTGGGGGATAGGATGGGCCGCACGGTGACTGCTTTTTTGGGGGGACCGAGGGCCCTGGGGGCACTGAAGTAACTGAAAACCCAACAAAGTCAGGAGAGGCACCCAGGGTTAAAAAGAGGAGAAAACGTAAGAACAGGTATAAAAAATCAGCACAATCAGACATTGGATATATTAACATGCAGGGTGGTAGAAATAGGTTAAAATGGGAAGAGGTGGAGGAGCAACTAAGAAAGGAGGATTTAATGGTGTATGGGTTTGTGGAAACACATCTCAGAGACATGGAGCAGCCACCTTGCAACCCTGACTATGTGTGGGAAGAATGCAACAGAATGGAGGGAACGAGGAAGGGAGGTGGAATTGGAGCATTTATTAAGAAGAATATGAACTTTCAAAGGATCAGAAAGGAGTGCGCCGAACATTTGTGGCTGAAAGGAAAAGTCGCTGGGGAATCAACAGTCCTTGGAGTGGTTTACTTATGGACAGGGACAGGTGCTAAAGAGGAAAACAGAAAAATGATTGATTGCATATCAAGAGACATTAGTGAACTAGGCGAAGGCTCCGAAATAATTATTATGGGAGACATGAATGCCCATATTGAGGGTCTGGATGGGTATACGGACTCAACTGGAAGCATATTACTAGAACTGGTGGAAAAACATGACTTAGTTTTATGTAATACCAGTCAGAAGTGTGACGGGCACATAACTTGGGAAACTGGCAATCTGCATTCAACTATAGATTACGTACTCATGTCACACAAAATATATGGTAAGTTACAAGTAATGAAAATAGATGAAGAAGGTTCCAAAAGTCTTGGTAGTGATCACAAACGTATTAAGCTGAATTTTGCCAGAGAAGTAAATGCTGAAACTAGACAACATAATTCAAAGCAAACTTTCTGCAGCGACAAAGAGTTGGAAATAGTTGTTGAAAGAATAGAGGCAGCAGTTTCAGGGCAATGGCATACAGATTGGACCTATGAGAGCCTAACTAGGCTTTTTTCTCTAGAACTAGACAAAGTTAAGAGTAAACGAAAGGGGAAGCAAGGGCATAGACCAAAAAGTTGGTGGGACAAAGAAGTGAAGCAAGCGATACAAAAACGTCAGGAAGCCTCTAGAGAACACAGGTATTCCAAGCGTAGTGGGGAGTCCGAAACGGAAGTAAAAAGAAAATGGGACAATTTTGTAACATGTCGCCGAGAGGCATCCAGTTTGATCAATGCGAAAATTCAGAGAAAGGGTGAGGAATGGATGAGTAATGTAAGTAAGAAAGATAGAAATGCTGCCAAGAAGTTTTGGGAGCACTTGAACTCACTCGGTGAAACAACGCAAGCTAGACAGAGGTTCATACTCTCGCATCAGGGAGATCAATTAGAGGGAGATGATGCGATACAATATATAGGAGCAGTGATGGAGGAGAAATTTCGGGAACGGGTACATGTGGAAGATAGGAGAACCGAAGGAAGTAGCAGTCCAGTTTGTGACATCGCGGATTTTGGACAAAGAGAATGGGAAAAGGCGGAACGAAGAGTCCCTAGTGGCACGTCGACAGGCACAGATGGTATCCCTATCAAGCTGGTGAAGAATTTGGGTCCTAAATCTAAGGCAAAACTAAGGGAGGTAGTGAGTACCATGATAACAAAAGGAAATATTCCAGATGAATGGAGGCTTAGTAGGATGAGTATGATATATAAGGGAAAGGGAGATAAGTCTGATATTAGAAATTATCGTCCTATAACCGTGACACCGGTTATTTACAGGTTGGTAATGCAGATTATAAAGAACAGACTGGAGGAATGGGTAGATTGCGAGGGCATACTGGGCGAGTTACAGAACGGGTTTCGAAAACAAAGAAGGTTGGAGGACAACTTATTTTCTCTAACACAGTGTATAGAAATAGCGCAAAAAGAAAACAGACAGCTCTGGCTGGCATTTCTGGATATCAAGGGTGCCTATGACAATGTGAACCAAAGAAACCTGTGGGACATAATGGAGAACTTAAACCTAGATGAAGGACTAACAGCACTATTAAGGAACATTTACAAAGATAACAAGGTGATTATAACATGGGAAGGAAAGGCGACAGGGAAAATAGAGATAAGACGAGGCCTTAGGCAGGGGTGCCCGTTATCGCCTTTGCTGTTTATGTTGTATCTGAGAGGATTGGAGGATAGACTAGAGAAGAGTGGGCTTGGGTTCAACCTTTCTTACAGTAAGCTAGGCCAAAAAATTCAGCAATCCTTACCAGGATTGATGTATGCGGATGATATTGTACTAATGGCTAACAACAGGACAGAGTTGCAGGAATTAATGAGCATCTGTGGTAGGGAAGGAGAGGAATTAGGTTTAGAATTCAGTAGCGAAAAATCGGCAGTCATGATTTTTAACGAGGATGAAGTTGAGAGGCTGAAGATACAGAATATTACAGTTGAGAGAGCTAGTAAATACAAGTATCTAGGAGTATGGATATGTGATGGTGCAGAATATCTCAGAGACCATGAAAAGTATATAATAGGTAAGGGCAACAGAAATGCAGCTGTAATGAAAAATAGAGCACTTTGGAATTACAACAGGTATGAGGTGGTGAGAGAGATTTGGAAAGGGGTCATGGTGCCTGGCTTGACTTTTGGAAACGCAGTGCTATGCATGAAATCCGAAGTGCATGCGAAACTAGAAATAAAACAGCGCGGAGTAGGTAGACTGGCTTTGGGGGCGCATTGCAAAACGCCAAACCAGGGAGTACAAGGAGACATGGGATGGGCATCATTTGAGAGCAGGGAAGCGGTGAGCAAGGTAGAATTTGAGGATAGGTTGAGGCTAATGGATGGGGAGCAATGGGCACGAAAGGTTTTCAGCTATTTATACATGAGGAGTGTAGACACAAAGTGGAGACAGCGCACTAGGAAATTAAGAGGAAAGTTTTTGGGCTATAGCGAAGATACGGAAGAGCAAGTCTCAGTTAAGAAGAAAGTTAAGGCCACAGAAAGGGATCGGTGGCTAGAGGGAATGCAGACAAAGACTGCTCTGGAAAGCTATAGATTAAACAAAAGAGTTATTGCCAAAGAAAGCATTTATGACAATTCTAGGGGAAGCTCATTGCTGTTTGAGGCAAGAACGGGTGTTCTGCGAACCAGAACATACAGAGTGAAGTACCAGGAAATGGATACAGTGTGCATTGCTTGTGGAGAGGAGGACGAGACGGCTGAGCACTTGATACTCTACTGTAAAGGGCTTCACCCTATGCCTACCGAAGACAACATAGATTTAATAAAGTCATTGGGTTTTAGAGACAGCGAAGGGAGAGTGGATTTCAAGACTGTAGAGATTACCAAGCAAAGATTAAGTGAATGGTGGCAGAAATCGAGAGAAAACTAGGTATTTTCTTATTCACTGATGGCAAGGGGGTTTCATAGCCTCACTTTCTTTGCACTGCGGAGTGAATATAGATTTCACATTTAAATATTCTAAGCTTAAATGGTAAAACAAAATGGCTAGGTGGCGTAAGCTACCGCCCGATCCAAAGGGCTCAGCCGTATTCATCCATCCATCCATCCATGTTTTCTGTTCCTTCAGTTTGGTGTTTAGCCATAGGCTTCTTGCACTGACGTCACATCGCACACTTTTGAACACCAAGTAAGAGGAGGAGAGGGAAGCTGCTTTTGTAAGAATTTCGAGTGACGGGTTAATCTTCTATAATCTTCTGGGGGGAGAATAGCGACGCCTGTACAAATCCGGGAGGCACAAAGGAGGATCCTGATAAGAGGGGAGCTCCTTCTTTCCCTCTTCTTTGGAGGGCAACGGAAGTGACGTCCTGTGCAAGGAGCCTATAGCTTTGGCCGGAAGTCGCTCTTGGTCTCGTTTCTTTTTTTTTTTTTTCCTGCTTGCGCGTAGGGGTTTGCGCGTATTCTGTGTAAATTGCTTGGTTCATCTTGGTTCACGTTAAATCACTGCAGTTCGTATTATGTATTACTGGAAATAATCACTCGCTATTCCGTGCTTAGCTGGCCTAGCTGGCTGCTGTAGTCACGCCTGTTGCGTTCCTCCTTCATCAATCGTCGGCTCAAGTTCGGTAAGACAGCATCGTGGTTTGATGAAAGTCAGCTTCTGTGGTTAGTGTGATGCAGTCGATCAGCTATCCTTCTGCCTAGTCTCCAGTGTCAATGGGGGAACAGTACACTTAAAAAATTAAGCGATTTAGGCCACGAATGTTTCGTGGCCTCGAGAATGTTTCCGTGAACCTCATTAGGGCGGGTCATCAACCAACCTTCACGAGCTTCCTAGTGTTTGCAAAACCAACCATCGAAAGTTTCTAGTAACTGTAATCCTAGTAAATGGCCTTATTTATTTGTGTCTAAAAGTAATTCTCTGATTGGCCTTCTCGATGCGGTCGAGATGGCTTTTCGGTGCACAACACACCCATTCTTTCTTCGTTGTTACTGACATGGATGGATTGGTGACAAAAATTTCGCTTGGGGGCTAGGCGAATGGACTCGCCACCGAATATCTCAATGCACGCGTGCGCTGTATGTGTCAATCAGTGTCACTATTAATTTGCTGGGTTCATGAAACTTTCCAGCACCTTTGTGCTAGATCAAGTTTCCGCACACTCCGAGTACTCCAACTGATTTTATTCCAACGATTTCAGATACCCAGGGATTGGAGAGGCAGCTGCTACTGCTTTGTAAAGCAACTTCTCGAGCTTCTACCCGGGAGAAATGTGCCTGAGCAGAAAGTTCATTGTTTTAGGTGACTGGTACCTTTTCAAATATTTCATTTGTTTATAAATGCTGGGGCATTTGTCTATACCACTAAAGCTTGCTTTCTGTGTTCTTTGCTCTGTAAAACTGAAGTTGCTATTAGGGAACTAGCATGGCGAACAGAGGGACGTCACTCAGCCATATTTCTTGGCACCTACTTGAGATAACACATCAGGTTTTGTTTCAGGCTTCCCTATGAAGAGGTAGCTGCCTTTGACCAACATAGCTGCAACATGTCCATGCGCTCTGTAAGTTTGCCGCTTGGCTTCCAACATTTCCTGATCTGTTGACAGGCGTTGTGTTAAGTGCAGTAATGGTTTGTTACTTATGCCATTATTCAAGACCTACTTGCATCTCTTGTTATATCACTTCGTCGGCACCTACTGAGGGACACATTTGTTTACTTTTGTTAATATTTGGTATACGAAAGTCTATTGCATGCAATAATTCTTAGGCGGGGGACTATGCCGAGGGAACGAAAATCAAGATGTGCACTAAAAAGGGCCCCTCGTCATGGTCTGCTCACCCCTAAGCTGACAGTGCGGGGAGAACTATGCCCTTGCTGGGGCCAATCAACCTGACTCCACTGTATGGGCGGTAGTGGGGTCATGAGGGGAAATCTAGAAGTATGACAGGTCGATTGAGCACATACCCTCCACTGCATTGTCAGTTATGGGTGAACTTGCTATAGGTATGATGATCCTGAAGGGCTGATGGAACTAAATAGTTAGTAGTGTTTCTCATACATTGTCTCTTTGCATGTAGAGTCGCAAGATGCTACCAGCAACACCTGAGGGGGTCGGAAGCCACTGCCTGCAACCACTGGAGCGACGCAGCCATGGGGGCCATGCATACGGCCCCGTTTTCCTAGAGTATTCACTCATGTCTGAATAGTGAGTGCACCCCGCTCTCCCAATTTGCTGTCTTTATAGTCGTTTGAGCGAATAATCAAATTGCACAGGTTATTGATGCAGTGTCTCTATAATTGAAGCTTGAGAGGAATATTTAATTTCAATTAGCCAAGCGCCCATGACATGCTGTCGAATCTTCCTGCTATTGTACATGGGGCGTGTCCCTAGCATACCATGTAAGAAACAGAAAAATCTGTGTCAGTTGCCATTTGCTTCCCTGGAAGTTGCTACGTAAGAACAGAACGCAACATTAGCGTACGCGGCCCTTGGAGTATTTACAGGTGCTGCTGCGGATCTCAAGTCATAACAGTTTGTCTGACCCTGGTCTGGACTTGTATGTGATGTGTGCAGTCTAGTGCACTGCCCATGTACATCCAGTGTCGCCAAGTGACGTGCTCTTTTATAGCTGATACACACGACGGTCCAAATTGCGATTTTGGTCTGCGGACTATGTAACATGTGACCGGCACGTCAACAATTTCTGTGATCTGCGCTTCGTCCGCGGACGCGCGGACTGATAAAGTCGAGTGCCTAGTTATCGCACATTTTTGGCGGGAGATTGATTTGAAAAGCGTTCAGTCTGGCAACGGTACTATGTTTTTTTTTGTTTTTTTTTGTTTTTGGACGATTAAAACAAAAATGGTCCATCGTTGTGTTTTTGTGCTCTCGCTGGTTCATATTGTTGCGTGATTCTTAAATCCACGCTTGAAAGGAACTGCAGAAACCCTGTCTGGCTGACTCGACGCAGGTTCCGGTACTCCTCCGGGTTCGTGTCAAGAAGCTTCCTTCAAAACTCGTCTAGCACGCCGCTATAATTCTTGCACGTCCAATCAGGCTTTCACTGAGCAAAACCATTCTTGTGGCTGTGATGTACTTGAGTGTTGAGTGCGGAGTGCGTGAAGGCCCCTCTGCGAGCCCAGAACTTTGTCGCTTCTACGTCGAACCCTTCTCGGGCAGGACCATGCCTGTGTTACTGTCATGCCTTGGGTTAGTAAAGCTAGTGGCACTTTGCGCAAAGCCTTTGCGGTGTTTTGCCTCGATCTGTACGTAACAGCGGCATGCGATTCTTTATCATGTTGGAAAACATCAATTTCTTTCTTGGACAAGGGTGCCACGGTGCAATGTTGGAGTTTCGCGGCACTGTGGGGTGGCGAACAGGTTCGGTCCGTTTTCACTGGCGTCTGCTCGTCGTCTCCTTCGTGTGGACGCGCTTGGGAGACAAATGAACCGCGGACATGGGTCGTCACGTGATCAATCCATCCGCGGATCAGTTTGTCGTGTGAATCGGCTTTAGTAATGGGAAAGGATCTCTTTGGATGCATATAATTTATTCAATCATCCACTTGATTACTTAAGTATTACAAAAGCATGACTTTGACACGTGGTCCTTATTTGTTTCAGCAATTATATGTGCGAGTGATTTTTAAAAAGTTTTAGTGCATGCTGACTGTCATACCTCTGGCTCTTCTTTTTTCTTTCTTTCTGCAGTCTATTACTGATGAAGCAGCAGCTTTCAGGTGTATACGTAATGCCATCAGCAAGTTCAGCATTCAGTAAGTGATCCTTGACTCCATTGTCCAGAGCACATTTCACTTTTTTGTTCACATCACTAGCCTCTGTGTTATGAAGTTCCGATTGCAAATAAACAAATTGAAATTGAGGAATTTGGGGGAGGTGTCCACCATCACTAAAACGTGGAAGTGTTGTATGAAGATTGACCGATTACTAAAAAGTTGTAAAAACAAATGTTTTTAAACAAAATTAGTTTTTTTTTAATTTTTTTCAAATGAAAAACAAAGAGTTTCAGTTTCAATGTATCACACAAAATTTTGGTTTGCTTTGGAAATCCAATAGATTTATTGTGAAATTATCCCTACTGAAAGATGCCCATAGGAGGTGCATTTTGTGATAAAGATTAATAGAAAGTGAACTGACCTAAGCAAAAATTAAGTGGAAGAACTTTTTTTCACAATGTCTCTGCAGACAACACTTGTCCAGTTGGGGCCACAGATGGCAGCAACAGCCCCCTTGTCAAAACTAGAGAATCTTGTTGAGTCAAACGTGGTACTCGCTTTCTTGTTCTTTGTCACTACATGATTTTTTTAAATTTCTAGTAATGAAACACATTGAATGGGCATAAATCCAACAGAAACAATTTTTTACGGGTATGCGGATGCCCCTTGTGGACTTCAGCCATGGTCTGTTTGGCTGTTGTGCCAATCGTACGTATGTTATTTGAAGACAGTCTCTCTAGGCACAGAAAAAAATACTCTTACATTTTTACTTTTTGTTCACTTAAGTTACAGTTTTGAAATTTTGATGCACAAAATGCACCACCTGTAGGCACCTCTGTTGTAAATTGTAGCACGCTATGTTAAGACTGATTTATGTAGTGCCTCCTAAGGGTCATAGAAGTCGCGATACAGTCTGTTTGTCGCACGTCAAGCGTCACTTTGTCGGAGGACAATTTGTGTCAGGCCCGTTGGTTACTGCAGAACATTGGTCACAAGATGATTCCCCATATGGGCAACCTGTTGTTCAATAACCGGGAGATTATCCTTGGGCGGAGCTGCATCTTGCAGTGGACAGACTCTGCTCAGTTTTTGTATGGGGCTCACAACATCAAGTGTTAGAATCTTGACGTCGTTTATCCAGACAATAAAGCTTTTTCATTAAAGGGCAACTCCAGTCGAAAACAAAATCAGTATAAATGACTGATATTGCTTTAGTGGTACTAAATATGATCGCAACCGAAATATTACGGCAAAATAAAGCCGCATACACCACCAAAACGGATTTTAAAGTTGCGACCAGCTGCTTTTTAGCGGGCAGCAAGCGGGTTAGCTTTTAGTCGAACAACACTGGGCGATGCGTGACGTCGCGGGCGTGGTGCGGTACCGCACTTGATTCCTCATTTTGTACTGCAAACCGGAGCATTATGGTGACGTCATATTGCGGCCATATAGCTGGTGATCAATGTTTCCATCCTCCTCGAGCAGATTGTTTCGGTTTTGCCGCAGACGCCCGCTGTGATATTTATAAAACTACACGCAATAAAAAAAAAGTACAAAAAAAAAACCAGTGCTTTAGGTACAGTGATTAGGCTGAAAATAGTCGTAATCTGAAATTCGAAAATATTGTCCGGAGTTGCTCTTTAACTCTATTTTATCCTAATATTATTAGCCTTTTGGAGTCATGTTAGTTTTTTCCTTGTAGGCCCCTCTGGTCAGAATTAGAGAATCAGAATTAGCAAAAAAAAAGATCAAATCAGTGAGTGACTTCAAATTCAACTATTTAATACTCTACAATCAATATGTTCAGTTTGAAATGACTCTGCACTGTCCTGAACGTTTTCATTTGAATTATTGAGCTTTACCAGCGGTATTTCTGCAGCGTATGATACTTTTCAAAGCAAATGCCAGGGTGTCGAGTGCAGGTTTTACAATAGAAAACAGTTTCACGTCTTTGCCCTTTGACTTTCCTGTCACCGCAGACTGCACAGTCCGTAAAACGCGGGCAAAGTAAAGGATGCCATGTTGAACGCCCAAAAGTGTGCGCAAAATGCCCGCTCGCACATCTAGCAAAAAAGAAAAAAAAAAGTGTCGCGCCTCTTGTTGGGGTGACAAGAAAGCCAAGTATGCATACCCAACAAGAGATGGCACAAGTAGAAATTGTCGGGAGGCGCTCGATGCTTGACCTCAAAGGAGATATGGGCCTGTCGGGGTTCCCCGACACTTGTCCAGAACGAGAATATTTATTTGTCGGGAGATACCTGACAGATGACCTCAAAAAGTTAATTTATAAATGCTGAATTTTAAAATGTGCGATAAATAAAAACCTAAAAAATAAAAAAAAAAGATATATCGACATGGAAGACAGACTGTCACAAACGGAGAGAAACTTGAGTGTGTCATCTGTCCCAAGAGCATCTTCACCAACATTCCTTCGTTTTATTTCTAATAGAAATATTTTATGGCATTTCTACTCAAGGCAATGCTCAAATGCCTGCACATCATTCGTACATCTTGCACGCATATACAGGGTGTTCTTGGAAACTCGGGCCAAATTGCTCCTGCGAAAACTATGCGTCGCTCAGAAAACAGGTTGATGCCGTAGTGCTCTGTGTCAAGGGGCCCTTTAAGACAACTCGTTAGCATTCGGTACAATTTGGTAATTAATTACTTTAATGATTAACTTTTTAGTTATTAACTTTAAAGGTATGGTTTTAATTAGAAACTTAATGTGAATCATCTAAAAAAACGACTAAATCCACCCATATTACAATAATAGACTCGTGCAGCATTTTAGGGCGTTCAGAAAAATTGCTCAATGGAGATGCGTTTCTAAATTTCGGTTTCCTATCGAAGCGCATCTCCACGCCGGCAATCCCACCCCCCTTGGCCATAATGCGCAATGTGCATGTGCCGCGAAGCATTGTGTGTAATGGTGCATCTTTACACTGGCACCAACGTAAAAAAGGCAAACCTCATGTGACTGTCCAGAGGCTTTCTTCTAGCCTCTTCTACACATACGTTGCACGTTTTGGCCACGGGGAGCTGGATTGCTTGCGTGGAGATTTGCTTAGACAAGAAACCGAAACCTAGAAATGCGTCCGAATTGGGCATTTTTTCAGAACAACGTAAAATGCTGCGCGGGCAGACATTTTGCGCGCCTGCGCAGCATTGTATCATTGTAATATGGGTGGATTTAGTAGTGGTTTGAGTGATTTGCATAAAGTTTCTAATTGGAAACCATACATTTAAAGTTAATAATGAAATTTAATTACTAAAAAGTAAATAATTACTCAATTATACTGAAAGTTTATAATTTTCCATAATGGGCCCTTTGACACAGACCACTACGGCATCAACCTTTTTTCTGTGCAATTCATAGTTTTCGCGGGAGTGATTTGGCTCGTGTTTCTAAGCACACCTTATATATGTTGTCAATACAGCTAGCGTCGTATTGTTTCAAAGCTATAGCCATCGGGGAATATGACAAGTTGTTGAATATTGCATTTCATAGGTTACTATTGTTTCCCACACCCTCAATGTGACTAATAGACCTTTTTCGAAATTCTGTGTTGTCTAATGGCTTGAAGATTAGTTTTATTTTCGACAAGCTAATGGCGGTGGTGAGACTATTTCATTGGGCACAGTCACTTTTTCATGTCAGTGGCAGATGAGAATTGGTTCTTTGATCGCTTTCTAATTCTTTCTTGATTTGTTTCAGTCTCGATGGTGTGAACATGAGAACTGACCAGCACAGAGCGGTGACCATAAACACCTTCATTAAATTTCCGCAATCAAGAGGCTTTAGAGCCAAACTTGCGCCAAGAGATTGAATGGACCACACTCCGGAATAAATGCTTCCGCAGCCGTTGTATCTAATTCGTGCCTCGTGTTCTACTGACGTCTCGAATATACAGGCCTCATATATCCTCCACTCGTTATCTTCAACTTTTTCCTTCATCAGCCTCAAGAAGGCTGTCATTAATTTGGCACAGATGCCATACACTGAGATGATGATAGTGATCAAAGTTGCTGCACTGAATTTCGAAAAGTGTCTATTGTAGGGTCAACTAAAGCCCCTTCCTGTTTCAAAAGTAGCGCAAGGTGCGTCAATGCACGAGGCACATGCAACGTGCAGCCCTTGGGAAGATCATGGCGGCACAGCGCAGCACTCAACTAGATTTCAGACGCCATGAATTTCCTAGAAGTGGCGCGCGGCACGTGCCTCGAGCATTTCTACAACAATGAATGGCGCCACTTTTCCGAGGATAAGAGGGGCTTTAGGGTGAACAAGTCGCCCTATGAGGAATGTTCCCATGTGACAGATCGTCCTGTTACCAGTTGGCTTGTGGGGAGCGTGCATGTGACGAATTGTTCTCGTTCCCATCAGGCTGACCCAGTAGATGGCACAAGGGACACAGTACGTGATAGCACTTGCCCTTTCCCATGTTAAGTTTTAACATTGAATAGCCATGACTGCATTGTTTATCGCTGTGCTTCGGTACACACTGAAAACTGAGGGTCCTGATTGAGCAGCGAGTCAAAGTGAGGGTGTTGAAGACCTGTAACCGTCTTCCCTTGGTGCCCGTGCAGTGTGGTTTGGTGTGCTCTTCATCCGGCAAGGCCTCTATCAGGGTGGCGTGTTCAGGTTCACGCTCCACATCCCAGACAGCTACCCCGAAGGAGACTGCCCGGTGAGATTTTTATTGCCATTGTTCTACAAGTGTTCCTGACAAGAATGGGAATGCGTATCTTGAAAGCCCATTCACGAATGAGCGCAATTTGTTTTAATGCCAAGCAATATTTTTTTTTATTTTCTTAGCATTAGCCTTTCCTGTTTCTTTGATTTTTTTTTTCTTTGTGGTTGGAAGATTGTTAACATGCCTGCTTGAAGAATAATCTAAAGGCCCGTTCACACTCTTGCGACCGAGTTAGATTGAGAGAGACCAGACTGGTTTTAAGCCTTTTGCGACTTCTTAGGACCAGCTCCGCTGCAGCGGATCCGGTCCTAAGAAGTCGCAAAAGGCTTAAAAACCGGTCTGGTCTCTCTCGGTCGAAGTCGGTCGCAAGAGTGTGAACGAACCTTAAGCCTGAATTGTTGCATTTCATGTTTTTTTGTGCAGGACCTGGTATTCGAACCACCCATCTTCCACCCTCTCGTTGACATTGGAACGGGAGAACTAGACATCAAACGCAACTTCCAAAAGTGGAGGTCAGTCACATTCGTTTTGTTTTACAGCGGCAGCTGCTAGTGGCCTGCCCCCACTTTTGCGACAACGTGAACATAAACGAAAAGTTTCCCTGCTAAATTTGGCAGAAAAATTTATGTCACGCGACCTGACGTCACGGGACCTAGACAAATTCAGGTTTGAGTGGAAAAATTTACGTCACGTGACCTATGCGCCAATTCAGTTTCCTCGGTAAATTAGCGAAAAAATTGACGTCACATGACCTATGTACCAATTCAGTTTTCCTGCTAAATTTGGCGGGAAAGTTGATGTCACGTGACCTGATGTCAATGGTCCTACAAATTCAGGTTCCCCGCTAAATTTAGCGGAAAAATTTATGTTACGTGACTTATGCACCAATTTAGTTTCCCCGCTAAATTTGACGGGAAAATTGGTGTCACGTGACCTGACGTCAAGGGTCCTACAGACAAATTCAGGTTCACCGCTAAATTTAGCTGAAAAGTTGACGTCGCGTGACCTATACATAAATTCAGTTTCCCTGCTAAATTTGGCGGGAAAGTTGCATCATGTGACCTACACCTTGGGGAAATTGATGGCACGTGACCTATACGTCAATGCATTAGTCTCTTCATTAGTTTATTTTTATGGAAACTAGTATCAGCGGGTACGTCCAGTACGGCTGCAGACATCACTAACCCTCTCCCGGCATCATTTCAGTCGTTCCGCCGCCGAACCTGGCCGAACAAGGAACATGATCAGATGAAGGTGTTTGTCAGAACGTCCACAATTTAGGCTCGTAACTACGTCGGAGTTCTCAATGTGGCCTATTACCACTGTATTATTGGTTTCTGTACTACAAGGGATATGTTTATATCGCAAAACTAAGCAAAAGGGACATAACACACGAACACAGCCGCGAGACCGCTGAAATCGAAACCGACCAAATTGAGGCCACCTTAGGGTGCTGCGTATGTCAGTGCCCCCTGTCACCCGGTCAAGTAACTGCTGTGATGAAAAGGTTTATGGTCCTGTCCGTTTCACGAAGTCGGTCCGAGGTCGATGTAAAAAATCACAAACGTGGGGGCCTTGCCATTTTTGTGTGCAATATTTTGGCAACTTCTGTCACTTGTCATTGGTACATTTGTGTGTATTTTTCTGTAGGAGCCTTTGTCCTATTACAGTGACATGTTGCTCTAATGAACTCCAGAGATTGAGTTTTCAATAGGCACAGTAAGCTCCCATGTGAAAATCAGTGCAACTGGAGCTGGATTATGGAACTGGTTACAGCTGGATTAAGTCTTATCTTGAGCTGGATCGAATTGGGACCAGTTCCAGCTGGAGTCTTTTCAGCTGGACTGCTCCTAGTCTTATGACCTGGCTCCTAACTTACAGCAAACAGTGCAGAATCTGAAAAAATAAAAAAAGGCACGTTGGTGTTTAGAATGCTAGCCACAATGAAAGATGGGAGACAAAAAAATTAAACATTTGGTTCTGTCAATAATCTTGCTTTCTACTCTGGAGGCATCAGTTATTTCTTGCACATTTCCGGAATGCGGAGAGTTCTTTAGTCAACGACATAATGAAGGTGAAGCAGGAGTAAACTTGACAGGGAGCAATTGGCATGAGCGCAACATCACAATTTCTGGGCTTTCATCCTTGCCCACCTCTGATGATGGCAACGTAAATACTGTACATAAACCGATTGTCACGAATGACAATTGATGAGGCGGTAAATAACAAGAGGAACTAAACGTTTAATGGGGCAAACTTGTGCCAAAACAAAAGCGAAAGAGAATAAAGGAAGGTAACAGATCAGCGTCGCAGGCTTCGAATGTCGGCGTGAACGCAGAGTCGAGCGCTGGCAAAAGACTGACTTTGTACGGTGCGGCTCGGCTTCTTTTGAGCCTTCCCTGGGTGTCTAGAACATTCTACCTCGCTTGTTCTGGAAGTATACATTCTGAGCATGAACAAGCTACACGGCTCTTCAACATTCTAGAATTTTCTACTTGCATAAAGAAAAAACGACAAGCGGTGGCGAGTTTCGAACCCCAGCCATTTGCATGGGAGCCAAGCGTGCTGCCTACTTGGCCAGCTGCGCACATAGTATTTTTCCATTTTAGTAGTTGTCTGTTGCAGCATATTTTTTTTTTGCTATCCAGCTATGCTGGTCCCACCTCCTGTGGTTGTGACTGAATAGGAAAGTGAGCTAGTAGGTAGTTGTAAAGATGCCAACTACCAAAACAGCTTTAGATCTTGAGATTTGGGCAATGCTATGTTTGGGAAGCGAGTTAAATATGCGAAATCGCAGTCCGTTAGCTCAAAAAGGCGAGTTACGTGCCTCTAACACCTTCTCGGGATGACTGTTGCACGCCAGTCATCTGGAGCATATGTCATATCTGCCTAGGCTGAAAAAGGAAATGCCAAATACCATGTAAGCCAATACTGGCAACTCCCGCGGATTGCAGGCGAAAAGTGATCGCAGCGCCCCTGGCGAGCTCGGAGTCTCCGCTAGCAGACAAACTCTCCACAATGCATGGGTTTTACCTATCTCCGTGCGAGGTGAGCAATGAAAAAAAATTGCCACGGGTATTCACTGCTTTGAATGTTAAAAAGTAGGTTCCACCTCATGAGTCAAGAACATTTTCTTCGCAAGGGAAAGATGTTACAGCTTGTAGGGTGCAATTTTCGGGGTCTCCCGAAGAAAACATTCCGTCAGAAGGTCTGCCAGGCAAGACACGAATGTACCTTCGCCTTGTTTCTTCGAAAAGGGCAATGTAAAAAAATGTTTAAAACATTGCTACGTTTCAACTTTACCGTGCATATCGATCAGTTCTTTTTGTTGTTGCAATTTCAATTTCTCATGTTTGTATTGCTTAAAACCGTTTCGTCGAATAGGCGAGCTGGCTATATCCCGATCGTCTCCGGATGAAGAAGCAAAAGGCAATTTCGAACCACGTACCTTATTGCGATGTCAGTATGCTCTGGAAACGGACGATTGTGCACATGCAAATCTGACGCTATTACTGAAACTAATAAAAGCGGAGTTACAAAAAAGAACGCCCGATGGACGGTCGTGCACCTCCTTCCATTTTTCAAAGTCTACTTTCTTTTTATGTTTGAGGTGACGCTACGCCACCGCGGTCTTTCTTCCTCCTGCGTTTATGTAATTGTTTGCCCTTTTTTTTTTTTTTTTCTTTAGCCGCCTTGGTGGTTTCGAGGTGAGAGCGCTGGCCTACGGATCCCCAGGTGGCGGGTTCGAATCCCGACCGAGGTGCCCGCAATATGACGGAGGCTTATTGCGGAGAAGGCGCCGTGTAACCGAGCTTTCGGTTACACGTCAAAAGATCCCCAGGTGGTCGAAATTAATCCTTAGTCCTCCGCTGGGGCGTGCCAGATGCCCGTTGTAGGTTTGGCACGTAAAACCCCCAAATTAGACTTTTTTCTTTTTTCTTTCTTGTGCTCACTTGACGTTTGAACCATCGCATATTTTCCTTTGCCTTGTTTGGCTTAGTTTTTACTTTCTTTCCTTCGCTTCATCGCTTACTATCACCGGTTCGTCTGCTACGCTATGCCCAAACATTTGGAGGGCCGTCTGCAACTTTGTTGTTGTTGTTTTTCCACTGTCGTCTATAACTTCCTAAGTTCGCCTTCGATTGAATTTCTGATCCGAAATCTTCATATGTACTTTTTGATACTTAATACATATATTAAGAAGTGTAAGCTCGTTATACATTTCTATTTGGATTTTATTTGAGTACACGGTCACGTTTGCTATGAGTCATCGTTGATTGATCAACCGGCCGCCTTCGGGCATACACCAGCGCATACTTGGAGATGGCAGGCATGCCATGTGCCTGTCATCTCCACTGCGAAAACAAGTTTTTCTGTTGTGAAGGGAAATCCTCCTTCCGCTTCCCGAAGACCAAACAAATGTGAGTAATTAAGTTACTTCAAATTAAACTGGAACAGCTATCCAAGTCTGGCTTCAAAATCGCCACTGACGCCTCAACAGACGAATATTTCACCAAACAAAAGTTCAGCTGAAAACGCACTTGAGGCCGCTGATCGACACTCAAAACGAAGGCATGGTGTGCAAGGATTGCCTGGACATGTACGCCAACAAGTACTGGAATGTACCTTTGAACTGCTGCGCCAAGCGAGCAAACAAACAACCTGCCAAAGTCACTGGGAAAAGAAAAGCGAAAGCAAAAAAGGTCACACACTGCTAGCACGTAGCAGATTGCAGCTCTTTTGTACTTAGTTCCTACCAACGCCGCGAAAGGAAATAAACAAACGTGTAACGTGCAGCTAAAAAAGAAAAAAAAATAAAATAATGAAGCTCTTTTTTTTTTTTAATGGTAGTGTTGCTTCCGCTTTGTTTGTTGTGGACTCAACACCGAGGGCGAGCACCACCTGCTAATTTTCAACCGATGCCCCGTGCGATCGTCGTCGTTGAAGGAGGTGTTTGCTGGGTGATTTGTATTTTTGTATCGTCTGCTAACTTCTTCATTGCAATCGCCGGCCGTTGTTCACGACTGTTCTCCATTTCTTTTTATTTTCGTCTGGGATGGGGACCCCATTTTTTCTGCAAAGCTCGGAAAGTGTTTGCACGGTCATTTTTTTCGTTACTCTTTGTTTTTGTAATGCTGCAGAGGCTGGTGCGCTTGCTCTGGTAATTTTAACATATGTTTGCGCACGTTTTAATAATCGCCTATTTAGGTAAGAAATTGTGACAACGCAGTTTGTAACGGATAAACAGTAACTTCTTACGACGTAGTTCAAGTGGCTAAACGCCTTTTTTCCGCTTCCCAGATGTGCTTCAAACGCGTGTGATCCCCCTGAGTGGCGCTTGAGACCTCTAAATAAACTGCTCTATCTTCATTTATGCGCACATTATTATTTGTTTGTCGTTGCAGTTGCAATCAGTGGATTCCGCTTTGCAAACGGGTTGACCGTAATGAATTGTTTCAGCTGTTGGGGTGAAGAAACGGGGCTCGCAAAGCTCAAGGACGTCGCGGAGCCTATACACCAACTCATGTTTACAAACAAACCGGAGCGCCCTTAGCGGACGCCACCGGCGCCGCGCATGCGCGGTGGACGGTGGGCAAGAAGCCCGCCGTCGCCCATAAACATACCATTGAATTGCGTTGTTGTTGGCGCTGGTGGGAGTCCCCGTGCTCTTTTTCGCGTTGGAATTGTTGATTCTACGTCCTCCTAACAATGCCTGACTACTTCAGTGGCTTCAGCAAAATTAACGAGGCAAAACTTTGCGTGAATAATGTGACATGCGGCGATTCATTTCACGTGGACGCCGCAGAATGGGCGCTACAGTCTGACTCCCACGATGAGATTCTGCTCGCCATTTTCAGTCGCGACGTCGCTCGGACTGCAAAAGCGTGGACCGTAGCTGAGATGGTGGACGTCGATACTGAGAACCGCAAGTAGAATCAGGCATTACAAGGCGTTGATGGCCACTGGTAACAATGATCAACATATCTTCTTGTATCTGTTTACACTTAGCCTACTTACCCCAACCAACCTTGAAAAGTGTTTTGAGGCCTGCACTTAGTTCTTATCGCAATTACCGGATCAACGTTTGATTTACGGGCCGCTGTCATTTGAACGAGCTGACGACAAAAAGCAGCTGAGTTTGAAAGAGCAGACGACAGTTGGAACGCATGCGCAATGGAGTACGGGCAAGAAGCACCGCGTCTCGCGTCAATAAACCATTCGAATGTCACGTTGTCGGCGTCTGTGCGAGTTTGCACACTCTTTTTCGCGTTGGAATTATCGATTCTACGTCCTCATCGCAATGTCTTACCACTTTAATTGCCTGAGCGAAATGATCAAGGCTCGTTACGCCGCTAAACTTTCCGTAAATAATTTGACGTGCGGCGATTCATTCGCATGAACGCCGCAGAATGGACGCCAAAACCATGATGAGATTCTTCTAGCTATTTTCGGTCGCGACGTAGCTCGTGCTGCAAAAGTGTAAAAGGTAGCGGCGATGATCGACGTCAACACTGAAAATCGGAAGCGGGAACAGACCAAGCGTAACAAGTCGGTGATGGCCACCGGTACCAATGATCAACATCTTGTATCTACTGTTTACACCGAGCCTACTTAAGTCTTTTGAGGCCTGAAATTACTTCTTATTGCAATCACAGGGTCAAAGTTTGGTCTACGGGTCGCTTTTGTTTGAACGAGCAGACGACAAAAAGCAGACAAGTTTGATAGAGCAGACGAAAGTTCTACCGATCAGGCGGCCGTGTGAATTTGAAGACGCACTGAACCCGTGGGTGGTCCGGACAACTTGGCAGTTTTCTCTCGTTCATGTTGGAACAAAGCAAATACATCTAGCGACCACAAAGTGTTGCCCGCACACGCTATCGTAGTTCGACAGCGTCTGGTTTGCCCTTTTCACGGCTACTATCCACGTTCTCGGACGAGCGGAGGGGGCAAAAACACATGAAAACTGATCTTCAAACCTTTCCAGACTCTCTTGGTACTGCCCCCGTCGCAGCATTTTGACGAGAAGGCAGGTTTTTTGTCTCATTTCTTCCAAAGGAACACAGGAATGCATGTCTGGCACGGCGACTTCTGCCCACCACCTCAGACCGGAAGTGCGTCCGGCGCGACACCACCGCGGCGTGACGTAGGAGAGTTGAGTTCGTGTATACTTTTCCATTGCGTCGTCTGCTTCCGTAGACTCCGAGTCCGCTAGAGGCGCCACTGTCACGTTCACCGCCGCTCCCATAGATTTTCGGAGGAGTTTCCAGCATTGGCGAAGCTATATCGTATTTGGAAATACTGTGGAAGAAAATACATTTTCTTCCATTTTTTGCAGTCACTGGCATATGTGGTTTCGGTATGTTATTTGCACTTGCTGTTTTAATGTGCTGCTTATTTTACCATTTACCACCGCAAATGAAGGAAGAAATGAAAGTGATTGATTGGGGAGGGGGGGGGGGGGGGTGCACTGTCACATTTGTCCGGAACGGCACACGAAATCAGCGGAGGCGACACAAAACGTGGATGGTAAATACTTCTATTTACAAGAAAACGACTATGATTGTAAGAAGAACGAAATTAAGCAAAAAGTCAAAAATCCTAATTAAATATTGTCCTGGAAGTTTAGTCCTGATTCTATGTTGACCCCCACCCCCCCCCCCCCCTCCCAATCGTCAGTCACGACTGGCAGTCTATATGGTGTTGGCACTGGCGGCAATCTTGGCGTCAGGATGCAGTGCCCCAGCGGGGCTGAAGCAATGCCAGCCGCTGGTGCACTTGCCCTGGAGCGACGCCGAGGTCCAATCCTTCTGCAAAATGACCACCTGCCGTTCTTCGATGCTCGCGTTCCTCTTCCTCTTCTTCTTCTTGTATGTTGCCAAATCCCCGTACCACGTCTTCTTTTTCCTTTTCTAATCTTTTAACACTGAAATCGTCACAGGCACCTTCAAGACCGCCTAGGGTGGCCAAATGCGCAGTTTGCCTGTGGTAAACTCTGCCTTCAGTTTAGTGAACATCCTCAACACCTGGAGTTAATTGAAACGAGAGTACTCCAGAGCTAGAACATTTTTGACAATGTTACAAAGGCTAAATTCCAATAGTAACATACATTATTTGTTTGTTGCAGGAAGAATGTCAACTACCTGTGGCAGGTTCTGCTTTGTGCACGACGAGCCTTCTACAAGATTGAGACTCAGACCCCCCTGAATCCTGAGGCGGCCACACTGTGAGACCGGTTCACTCTTTTGGAATCTGGGCAGTTTGTGCAAAGCCTTTGCCTTGCGGTTTCATCGTGCAAGGCCAGTTGTATGAATGCATAAAGACGTGCACATTCTCTTGTAAAGAATTGGACGGTCGGTTGGCTGGCCTGCTTGCTTTCTGTCATTGTCATCCGTACCACAACTCCTTTGTGTGCATAGCAGCATGTTGAAGCATGCTTTAAGGATATTTGCAAAATTCTTACAAATCGCAGATTGAAACTGTTGTCATATTCAATCTCCGAATTGTTGAACTTGAAAGGAGATGCACAATTTGCATGTCATTTCACTCGATAGTTGTGTCGAATTTGAAAGAGAATGCACGAGTTGACCTAAAAGATGCAGAGAGCTCGGTCCTACATTATCTCAGCATCTGTTCACAAGCAGTTCAAGGCATCCTCTCGCTCGGGAGTTCTAAGGCTTTTCTATCTCGAGGAGTGCCTCTTGGAGCACTGCACAGGCTCAAACCCACCCAAAAACCCTGCTGCCAGGCTTTGTTTGGGTAGTCCACACATTTGTCAGCCTCTGGCAGGGCTCGTATTTTAGAGCGCAGCTCTTAGGCACTTGTTTTCGGCTTGAGCGGCTTCGCCGTCGGCATAACCGTGAGGTCACGTGACCCCGGTGACGTCACGTAATCCCCGTGGGGTCACATGACCCCCATGAGGTCGGGTGATCCCGGTGATGTCATGTGACCCCCGTGAGGTCACTTGACCCCAGTGAAGTCACGTGACCTCACGGTTACGCCGACGGCGCTTGGAGGGAGGAGTAGCAGGCAGGATGAGGAGGGAAGAGGGGTATATCCTCCCCTCAGTACCCTTCCCTCCTCCTCCTTAAGAGCTGTGCTCTAATTCGGCATTACAGGGAGTTAGTTGTAAACGGCTTTCATTTTTTTTACTTGGAACATTTTCTCCGTAGTGGTCCTGGCTTTGACAAGGGTGTGTCGCACGGATTTACACTTTGCAATATGATTGAAGCAGACGGCTTCAGTTTACCTTCTTTGTTTTTTTTATTTGTGGTTATCGTGACCCCAGTGACCCTGTAAGACTGAATGGTCAGGATTTCATGTTTTCTTTTTCTTGTGGCCAATCACTTTGCAGCATTACCCTGTTGAATTATTCACTTAACTCTTTCTGTGTTTACCTGCTCGTTTGTCTGGGAATGAACTTTAAAATTACTTGTTTGGATCGGTCTTGACATTCTGATGTGACAAATTGCCCTTGCCCGTCGTCCTACGCAGAATGAGCATTTGAAGGGCTCTGTCGTTTTTTAATTGCTTGCTGTATATTGTGTGATGTAAGAGGATGTTGCAAATTAAAACACTTGGGCCGGGCTTTTGTTTCAAGATTCAGCTGGACTATGTGTAGAAACCCCGTTAGATTTGAGCCATGTCTTTGTCGGGCCTACGCATTCGAGCTTCTGTGGTACTTCGCAATGGCCGTCTTTCTCGACTGTTAGCCGAGGAACCCTTCTTGGTCTTTGCATTGATGCAGTAAGGCAGTACAGACCTTAGAAGCAATAATTCACATATGAGGGATGGCATATTAACTATGCATTAATAGGTGGCTCAGATCTGGAATAGTGTTAGAACACTTTACTCAGGGAAGGCTAAGGAGATTTGAGAATTTTAGGGAACCCTCGAGCATACTCTGGGGAAACCCTGGAGTGCCTGGGAACCTATTTGAGAACCCGCTGACGAGTTGGTGAAAGTGACAATGTAGCAGTGCTTTGTCATTTGATTTGTGCCCAAGAGCATGAGACTGAACATTACTCCAGGTATGAACAGAACCTGGACCAGTTCAAGGTGAAAGTGGCAGAGAACTTGGCTGTCTGCGAGGAGCGACTGTACGAGCAACCCTCCATGGACGACGGCCATGCTTTCCACTTCCTGCCTTGGGATGACAATGTCCGGGAACGAGTTGCCCAGCGTCACATTCTCAGCAGGGTATGGAGGAACTCTACGCCGACACCTGACATTCCAGCGTAAAGGGTCAACCTCCCAACTGTGACTGTTAGGGGGTCGATGTAGCACTCCACACTCGCATAGTGATCAAGCTCTCTTAGCTATCACTAATATTGGTTAATAGTATTGGGACAGAGCATGCACCTGAAGGCTCGTAGGATACGGTGACCCTCCTCCCCCATCAAAAGTACCCCACATATACACCTGCCTTGCAGAGACATTGGAACTATTTGGGAGAAGGGGGCGGGGTATGGTTTAGGGTGGTATTAGCCCTTTTCCTGCACACCAGATTTGAGCCACCATAACTGACCTTCTCTTGCCTTACCGAGATGACCAGTCACTGCAGTGAGCACCAACTTCACACAAAGCCTGCATTGGGGACTACAAAACAACACTCTGGTGCCTAAAAGGTCAATAACCTGTTGCACGATCGCAGTGATAAAGCAGAGTGAACAGAATGAAAGGAAACAACAGCGAGTGTGCATGTGCAGCTACTGAAAAGTGCCCATTTTTAATACATGTACTTCCAAAAGTCTACTCCAGTTCACCTTACGATGAACCGCAGATGACGCATCGAGTCGTCGAAGCCGTTCCAGTGCGGTGCTAGTGTCACGTGATCTTCAAGAGGGGGAAACAGTGACGCGCTGGACGCATGCTCACTTGATACTTTCAAAGTGCTGCAATTGGCTGGGATAACTCGTAGTGCCCGCTGCGGTTCGTCCTAAAGTGAAACGGAGTATAGTAACTGCTGCAAAATGAAGAGCTGTTATCTATCTATAATTTAATGTTAAGAGAATACTAGTTTCATGTATTGCGAGGACGAGACAAGCAGATCCAGGGACGGATCTATTGAGTGACCGCTCTCGGGGATCAGATCCTCCAACCCGCTCTTGAGCGGGTTAGGAGGTGTAATAATTGAAGGTGATTGTGATGATGAACGTGATGAAAGTGAAGAAATCAACATTTAAATGGGATTGTCTATGAGCTTCCTCACATGGTGGGTGAAGTGTGGCCTCCTGGTCACGCTTCACCTACCCCTATCTCTCGTCCCACAATACAATTAATGTTTTATTATCTCGGTTTTAATATACCTCGCTTTCACAGCCCTAACATTCATTTTCTCGAACTACAGTGTTCCGACTGCTACAATACTTCATGTGTATGGTCTCTAGTAGCAAGCGTTCAGTACTGCATATGTTTTAAAATAAAAAATGAAGTTAAAAAGGAGGGAGCGTCGTCTGCTCTCGGATATAACATTTGATGTCACGGTTGCTCCCGCTTGTTGTTGCGAGTAAAGCGGCAGCAAGTGATTCGGAGGTGTATGCGTAAACTTCAGAATTCATCTTCTCGAAAGAAAATTAATATTTGGATTAAATATTTCATAGGCACACTCACGGATGAATACTTAGTATATGGCAAAATTTTTATAACAATTTATGACCGTTAGTATTTCGCCAGAGCTCCCCTTTAAATTAGTTAGGCCCTACCTGGTGTACAAAACATTATACCGACGAGGTGAGGATGGCAGGGAAGAGCTTCCGTTGTCCCACCTTCAGCACGAGCTTCCTACATTTCACAACGCTTTGGCAGCATCTCTGGCGTGTGCGTGTAGCTACAGCATAGGGAAAGGCATGGAGTGCATGTTGGATGGAGGCCGGGCATTTGAGATGCACAGCCTTGCATTCTTATCTTGTCAAAGATCATAGTCGAGCCTTTTAATAGTAATACTGATAAAAATTGCGATCCGTGTGACAGAAGCGCTTGTTGCAACTGGAGGTGTACATCTTCTGCCCAACAGATGGACAGGAAAAGACAGTATTGATCCTTCCCCCAACTTGTGCCACCAGTCAGATGACCTTCAAGGTGGCATAGTGTCTTTGAAATGTTGACTGCTCTTTAAAATTAGCAGACTCATCCTTGCAATACATAACTAGGGTTCTGTGTTTTTGGAGTTTATTTTTTGTCAAATTCGGAGGGTGTTTTTCTGAGTTTATTTTTTTGCCGAAATCAGACCTTATCAAAGTCCATTTTTGTTTGATTTCAAATTCTCCGAAATTCGGAGTTCAATTTTGCAGCTTCCTATTAAAAATAAATAAATAAATAAATAATATATGGGTGTAAATGTATGCTAGACAAAAAAAATAAAATAAAATGCACTTGTATCAATTAATATTTCTTCAGCTGGATTTACTGTTGGTACATTGCCATTGGCAATACTAATACCTCCCACAACAAAAGTTGCACACAAGTGTTGCTTCGATAAATGTCCACACCTTAAAATCAATTAATTTGTGGAGGTAGTCGCTGGGAAGCCTGCATTTGTCCCAACCTCTTCCATCAACCTACCCCCGCAGCTGTGCGGGGTAGGTGATGGAAGAGGTTGGATGTAATAGATAAGTTTCACCTGCCCCTGTTCCCCCTTCTATGCAGTCTCTATGGTCCATAGCTTTCACTGTTACAAAAACATAACCTCTCCTTCCTCTAAAGCATAAATAGTATGGCCCAAACTGGAAACCAAAACGGTGGCTTTTGTCGTGGCTCAAAAGTAAAATGACCTGTTGTCCTGAATAAGGGGTAAGACCGCTTTTGACAAAGGTCCGAGATTTGAAAGATAATTGTGGTGGCATTTTCCCAGGACCATTGACCCTGTGCGCTGATGAAATTGTAAGATGCCACCCTTTTTTTGTGTGTGTGTGTGTGTGTGGGGGGGGGGGGGGGAGAGGGGGCAGGGGTGGCAGCGGCGGGGCGGGGCGGGGCATTGGCACGAGGGTGTTTTGTGGATTTATCTGAAAACACGGAATCCTATATATAACCCAGGTGGAAGCCATGGAAGATGCAGCAGAAGATTCTCCTACGAGCGTGGGTCTGACCTGGGTGAAGCGAGGCTGCATGCAAGTGTTCTCCAAGACCGTGTCGTGATGCCTCGCTGATGCCTACCTCGTCCACAAGCTCCGAGCAACCAATTTTACCCAGACTTCTACAGCCTTCTCGCCAGAAGGCATTTGCTCCCTCCTGCATAGTTGACTGCATGAAAACAGCTTGCGGCTTTCTATTGTCAAGCTGCCTGTTAGGCTTCTTGGTGAGAGCTTTTAGCAACTTTGGGGACCTACAACTAGAGAACATCCCATGAGCACTGTGGCATTAGTCCAAGAGAGATATGTATTTTGAGATTAATTTTAAGGGTCACACGACTGCATGAATTGAACTTTTTACTTGTTCGGTGTGTTCTGAATCCCCTGCCAAATTGATACGGTGTTCTATAGATGTGTCATGGCCCTTAACTGTGGCATAGGCACATGCCATAGGCACGTGCCATCGGTGGTCAGATACTTTATTTGGTTTGTAAGTGTACTTTGTTAGAGATGTATTGTGTTGATTTTGTTTGCACTGCTAGCTTCGGAGGCGCAGGAAGGCATGCACCGACTCTGTGAATTAAGCATGTGCGTGTGTCGTAAGCTGTGGGCATTGCACATTCGCAGGTAGCTGGTTTCTCCGAGCGAAACATCTGTGTCTGTGCCGTGCCGCAGTCAGTGCCACCACTCTGGCGCGAGTTCGGGCAGGGAAGTTTGATACATTTGTGCAGTTGGCAACGATCTTATTCCCTACTGTCGTCAAGCTCCAAGGCTTGTGCAACTAGACAATTTTAAGAAATAACCCGTAAACCACTTCCCTGGAATATTGCACTTGCACTAAAATACCACAGTGCCCACCCAAACTTGCAAGATAATTGCAAGAAACTTTGGAGGTGGACACTTGCTCAAGTGAAATTAGCGCATGTTTTATATATATAAGCTATTTCTGACGTTGTGAAAAATCGGTGGTGGGACTCTCGTCAAAGGGGGCTCATTCATGACTGTCTTATCGGGAAAAACGAGTTCCAAATAATTCCGCAATTCTCTTTCTCAGGAACGAAGGTCCCTGTGGCTCGTGCAGTCCATTAGGAAATTTAATGCAGGTCATATCGGCATAGTCATTTTGCAACATGTGTACTTTGTGGCATTCATGGTAATGAAATGTCAAAGAATGCTATCTTATGCTGAAATGCATAGCTGTGCTAGGCAAGCCCAATCTCAGTTTAGTTATTTTATTTTTTTCTAAGGTGTCACTCATTTTTGGTTTTTAAATAAACACTTGGAAGACCGTATACTTCTCTGTGCTTAGCTTTGCTGGTCTAGTGCTTAACTAAGTGATATAGTGCAGTCCAACAATGTTTCTGCATCCAGTTATAAAACTGCAACTTCACATATCACCGTCATATTGCATTACTGTCGAGACCGGTTATAACGAAATAGCGGATATAGCGAAGTGATTTCAGATTCCCGTTGACTTCGTTATAACCGGTCTCGACAGTACTAGTCTGCACAACAGTGATGTATTCTATTGTACTCGCCATTTTAGGGGTCACCGCAACCATCCTTGTAAAATCATTGTTGGTCGACCTCTACCTTCTCTAGCTGTATCCATTGTTCATTTTGCCAAGTGGTTAAGACGAGTCTCGTGGCAATGCGGTAGGCAGGTTGTCACTAGATGCACGACTTTTGTGCAAGCACAATTTCCGCGTTCTGCAACCCCACACTTGGCACAGCATGGACAACAGGCGAGTTGCCCAGTTTCCTGTGGCTTCTATCGTTCTGTGCCGTCCCAGCGTGACACACCCTCTATGGTCGGCAGAAGCGTGTGGCTGAGCTCGTACCGCTTGCCCTCCCAGTCAAAATGTGTAGGCGGCGACATGTCGTCGCTGGCGTCGGCGAAGACGAAGTGCCTGCTGAATTCGATGGCTAAAAGCGAGCGCACAAGGCCCACTCCGCCGGCTCTCTCCGGGGCCGGGTGGTAAACGCGGCCTGTCCCGGCGGGCATGCATAGGTGCTGCGGTTCAAAGGGAACTTTGAGCAGGTCGCCTGCGTGGTTGTGCAGAAGGAAGTTCCTTTGCTTCCCTTGTCCTGGTTCTTCTAGAGGGACCACGTGGGTGAAGACAAAAGGTAGGTCGTCGCAGCGCACAAAGTTCATCTCGCGGCCACAGGGGGAGACAAATGGAAACTCTGCTTCATTTTTGCCGGTCTCGTTGGGTCGCAGTCGGCGGAAGAAAAACTCCAGGAACTTTTTCTCTGGAATGAGGAAACGGGAATAGGCGAATGGTAGTAAACAATAAATTTTGGCTTAAAAAAGAAATGCGGGGTTTTTGTTGCCGAGTTAGTCGAAAGATGAAAGGGTGAGGTGTGTATGACTGCGACAATGCAGGCCTTCCGGTAAAGGCTACTGTTGTTGCTGCAATGCAACACATTGAAGGTATTGAATACTGACGTGCGTACAGTGTAGGTGGGCTAGCAATTCTGGAAGTATGCGGAAAGCAAGTCGTCTGCTTCTTGCGCTCGGGCTGTGGTGACGTCGGAACGACTCGGAGTTTTGATTGGCTTTGACTGGAAGGATAGTGGGTAGACTGCAATGCTAGATGCCTTGAGGTCTACTCACCATTTTCTCCAATTGGCCAATAAGAGCTTGGCGTTGTGACATCATCGCAACCCCTGTACAAGGAGCAGACGAGCTTGAACTCCGCTTTGTGTAGCCTTCCCGTTGACATCTCTCACTAACTAGCGCGGTGTGCTACCAAGAGTACCTTCGGCGTTAGGGTATGCGTTGCCTACAAATATTTACTGCATTTCGGGACGAATATTTGATCACGATACCTTTAAAACATGAGGTGAAGTTCTTCATTCTAGAATCGTCAAGAAACAACTGGAAGAACATAACAAAATCATTAGCGGTTAGATCACAAAGGTAACGGCAGCCGCAGGAAACGAATTCGTGTGCATACCATGCCTTGGTGGTCAATGAAGTAGAAATACTCCCTTGCGTACTGTTCACTACTTTGGCCTTGAACATAGTGGATCCTTCGAAATCCTATACACACCCTCAGTCTATCATACAACTTCAAATTCCGCATGCCACATTTAATCATGACTTATGTTCGTGCGGTCGGATGGTCCGACGGTTCGACTGATCTGTGATCAAAAGGACAGCAGACAACACGCAAGTTGCACCTCGACAGTCTCGGAAACGGCTATGCTGCAATATTTATATTCTACAATATTTGTTTTGTTTTTTTAACCTCGAGGACATTGATAACGATCACCGGATATTTGGCTCGAACGAATTTCTGCAGTGGAAAAACTGGAGTATGTTGAATGCCTAGTGAAAATGTTGTTCTTTTCCGTCCTTTTTACTGTTTTCGAGCGTAAAGAACTCGCAAAAAATCCGCTACAATGGCGTGAGCAGCGTGAGCGCTCCTGATGCAAAGCTGCCCTCTGTTTCCGGCTGAAATAATAATATTGCGTTCTTAAATTAAAAAAAAGTTTTAATAAATTTTATCAATTAAATAATTAAAAAAAATATGCAAAGAGATATTGTGGTCTTTTATTTTAAATGTGGTTCATGCCATTCGAAGGATTCAAAGTGGCTGGTAACGTTCCTGGCTGCCAGGTGTGCTCCAGTCGGCAGCGCTGTTTCTTTCTAGGGCTCATTTTCTTTTCCTCGGCAGCGAACAGCCCACCAGTCAATCGAAGCACTTTAAAGACGGCTACAAAAAAGAAGCAAGAAAGAGCCAACCATTTTTGTTTCGACCAATAAGAGAGGCCGCTTTTCAAACCTTCGTACAGAGGGAGCAGCTCCGCAGAACGAACGAGTTTTTTTGCGATCCACTACTGGGTGCTCGTTTTGATTGGACTTGTGCGGTTCGGTCGTTCCTTGTCTCGGTGCTACCTGCAGTTCTCTGCGAACGAAGAGTCGGACGAACCTCCAGCATGCCGTCTCTAAGGTGGTGTAGGATAAACAGCCATGTGATGTGACCTTTTTAATACATGCATAGCGTATCATGAGTGTTCTACTCTTCGAGTGTAAGAGGCCAAATTTTTGTGTAGGATTACCTTTTGATTTCCGGGAATGACGGACATGGCAAAGCCAACAAAGCGAGCATGGAAACTCCGTGAGTACCTGTTGACATTTACTTACATGTTCTCTCCATTCCGAAGTGCCTTGGCCTCTACATTTTCGTTTTTTTTTTCCACGAGCGGTCATTCATTGATTAGGTCCCTTCGGTCCCAGTAGTTCGTTATTTGCCATGTTTGCCATCGCGTGCGATTAATATTGACCACCAAACTACCCACGCGACCCTATAGGGTAGGATCGTGTTCAGGATTTCTCGAGCTAGTCGAGCATTCGTTCAGTCTTCGAGACGACATTGTGCCTAACCGCAGAGCAAGTATGTGTGCAGGTATGTCACCGACGGCACTCAGTTTGCGACAGGATTTTGAAAGGAGGTATAATATGCGCCTGATCACGACCTCGCGACAATCACAGATGCACATTGGGGCGTCAGGGCGTTGTTGTTGTGGTTGATACTTCAGTTAAATGACATCAATTTATGGATTGGACGTCCACATCAAATGTTTTGATGAGACAACATTTTGGGATGGGGTCATGATTCGTTTATCAGGTAGAATAATACATCTGCAATTGAACAACTGTTTAGATTTTATGCTACGGCATTGAAACTAGCTGCTGCTTGTTTCTTTTTTTTTTTTTTTTTTCGAATGAATTTTGGGCCTTTTATTTTGTGCTTCTACAACTACATTCTTTTCACTGTTTCCAAAATAGGTATCGAAGGGTCATCGATCCTGGTTTCCATCACTTATGCCATGTAGACATGCCACGGTTATGGCTAATGCAGTAGCTGAATTCCCTATTGCGTAGGCTCAATGCTCATATGAAATTACATAATCCCCAACATGGTACCACAACTTGACTGTGTAATTTCAGGAGCTGTGGTGGTAAATAGCATTAAGGATTCCTAGCTTGTTAGTGATTGCTTAACTTTCTGAAGTTTTAACTGTGGTTATGTTTCACTCTGTACTCTGCACCTGTATCTTCGGAATTCGTAGCGACTTTATTCTGAAATGTTCAATTCAACAGTAAAGCGTGATTTTAGCCAATCAGGTCAAAAATAATAACTTAATTGAATGTGCCTACTACATATAAAGTCGTTAAGAGAAATCAAACATCTTGCATTTCATAATTTTAGAGACAGTGTGCGAACGACAAAACACACACACACACGCACCCCTACGAATATAGTTATTCAGCTTGAGTATGCCATGAAATGACTCTTTTACTGTGTGCATAGTTGTTTCACTCACCGAGGTAGTTTCAGCCTAGATTGAATCAACTTATGATAAATAGTGCCCTTGCAGAAAACCTCAAAAACCTACATGATATGCATGTAGCAATGAATGCCCATATGTAGGGTGCCTTCATGTCCCGCTTCGCTACCCAAATGCTATTTCGAAGTCTTTATGAAAACTAATTTTTTGTTGTTGTTGTAATTTGTATTTTAAGCTCAAGCTTGTTATCATCTTTGCAATCAATTTGCCATAGCTTGGAAATATTTCTGACAAAAATCTTCATCTTGGTGTATCCACTATCACAGTATGTATAAAATGTATTGCATAAGTGACGGTGTTGCTCAGGCTGTCAAGTACTACTGCCTCAGTTTTGACAAACAGCACGAACAAAACAAAAATGGCAAGGATGGGGTGAAAATCATGCATTGCTTGCTTTTTATTGTAGCCACTGAGGAAGAAGTAAATGATTTGGCATTTTTACATACATTTATCAATTTGGCAGAACCGTCACCAATTTCACTCAAAGCATTTCTTTCACCAGCTTGTGCAAATTTTATGTTGTGCGAATTCATTTTCCAGGCCCTCCTAATCAAAGTTTAATCACTCTCTCGGCCCTCTTGTACCGAATTCACACGATGTTTCCATTCCATTTAGACTGTTCAAAAAATCGTAAAGGTAGCGAGCTGGTAGGAATAGCTCTCGAAGGAAGATAGACTTTTAATGTAGCTTAAGTGCACTATTCAAGTTACACTATCTCGAATACTTTTGGGGTTAACTTAAATCTTACAAATACTTTAAAAAGTACTTAAATACTTTTTGCAAGTAATTTACACACTTCTTACGTTACTCGTAAGTTAAATCCGTGTTTTATTCTCGGGAGATTGGTAGGTCGCCAAAACGACAAATTTCAATATTTTTGGGAGGGTGTTACAAATTGCTGCCTCCGTGCTTGTGGGGAAGGGGTGAGCCGCAGCAGCAGGTGCCTGGGGGGATGCGTGTCTCCAGACAGGGCAGAACATGAAAGAACACGTCGTCATTCGTGTGTGTGGCTAAGCGCAGGACAGTGCTGGCCTTGTGGCGTCACAAAGGGGGGGTGCGTTGCGTTGCGTTGCGTTGCGTTGCGGAGCGTTGCGGAGGGCCACCGCCCCAGCTGCCGCTGACCCTAGTGACTCCACTGGTTGGCCTCTGTTTAGATTCCGAAGTAGGAGGGCACGTGGGCGCATGCTCAGCGTGTCTACAAGCGAGGGTGGGAGGACATTGCCAGAGAGAACTGCCACAAAAGACTACCCACCGACGACAGTGAACCGAGTTTCTTTTTATGGGTAGGAATTTTGGGAAGTTTGAAGTTCTTTGCATTTAGTTGTTTGACTGAATTGCAATCTAAATTGTAAGTTGAGAGTACATATCTGGTAAGTGACGAGTCCGCCTTTACATGTCCGTCGTACACGTTTTGCTTTCCTTTTCCTAATACGTACATCAGCGCGCTTGTCGAAATGATAATTTTTTATTTTTATTTTTGTGTGTAATACGCTGTTTAGATACTTTTAAAAGTTGACTTAGTACAACTTTTTCCTGATATTCACTAACTTAAATACTTCTTTTGAATATTTTTTACAAGCCTGGACTGAAACGTCCAGCCTTCTTCAAAGCCTGACTTCTATAATATTACCTATCATCAGTATGCGACTGGCGGAATGCAAATGACTCTTCGTTGGCAGTCTGTGGAACTGCATTCTAATTAACCACCTGTTTACAAGTGCACCAAACTTAAACACAACACGCGATAATCTTTATATATATATTTTTTTTTGCTCGTGCATTCCAGGTCCCTCTACTTTGGTGTTCAACGATTTTTGTATTTTCAGTAAATACCACTTCGAAACATTCCTTGACGTTTATAACTTACGAAACACGCGTTGTTGTTTTTGCCCTCCACGCAATGGCAGCCGGAGAAAAAAAAAGAAAAACTGAGAAAAAAAAAACACACAAAAAAAAAACAGCAATGTTTCTTTCAACTCGTAACCATGCAGAACAGCGGCCATGTGATCTGGTGCCGATTGTATGCCGCCAGTGTTCATGATTGCCACGCGGTGGGGTCGGCAAAGCACAAGGCACGTGCTGAGTTCAGACATTGTTAGGCGTCAGTTATTCCCGTCATTGCAGCGATTAGGCGCGAGCCACCACCAACAGCCAGGCGGTGCCAGCAGAGTGAGAGCCCACGGTTATACCCTGTCTCGTTGTAACTTGGCAAAGGGTGAACGATAAGCCCCAGATTGGCGTGCCGACGGCTCCGCTCCGATGTGCGCTACGTATACGAGGGCAACGCACACATATTGTAGCATGACGCAGCGAAAAGCCTGATACTTGCCAGTAAAAGCGCACTCCGGTGATACGTAGTCACGTTCCGAGTGGCCTGCCAGTGCCGTAGCTTACTGGCACGTTATGCGATCACGGCTTCCTGGCCTACCCAGTATTTCTTGCTTCAGACACTAGGCTAGGCGGCGCCACCAGTGCAATAGCTCACGTTTGAACTATGCAGCCGCCACTCCCTGGCATACCCAATGTTTCTTGCTTCAGTCGCTAGATAGCGCCAAACCATACAGCGTTGCAGGTTGCCTATTGTCATGGGCGCACGTGTAGCGCTCACGCAGTGCTCTTGTCCAATCGATGAGACGCATTTGAATATTATCACCATGTAGTACTCACTCCCTGTGAATACGTCAACACTGCGATCCCCGTAACTGCGTCGTCAAGTTTTCTCAAAGGATACTAAAGAAAAAGTCAGCTGGCGCAAATGTGTGCTGCGATAGGAAACCGAAGCATATATACTTTGTTTCAGTTTAAGTCCAGACGCAGCCGATGCTACAGGTGTGAGCTCCGGGCTGTGGCAAAAAACAATACAACATCCTTTTTTTTTTGTGCGATGCTTACTTTTCTTAGGAACGATTTGACCCGCGTTTGGTGAAGCACCCTGTATATGTTGCAACAGACTCTAGTCCTCTCCGTACCACAGGAGAGTAGGTGCCTATTAACTTGCGGCTTTTATACCACCGTGTTTTGACCAACATTTTTTTTGTGTTAGGTTACTTTGTGGCCTGTTAATTGGCTACAGGTCAATCCAGCCCCCCAGTGCCATATTAGCTTGACATTCCTGTAACATAGCCAGTATAAATATTGTATTCATGTTAGGGATATAATTCTCTGCCGTGTACCTCCAGCAACTCGCTTCAGTTGCTGAGCACTCGCGGATGTATTTTTGACGCGTTTATTAAAATTGTAAGCAAGCACAGTTATGCAACGAGATGAAGAAGCAGAGGACGGAACTCGTGTTGGTTGTTCACGATGTGAATAATGTCAAGAAATGGGTTGTATATAACGCTACGTGCGGCTCGTTACAAAACTATTTCGGTCGTTTCCTCATCTTGGTATCGAGAAACTGGGCTTCGTTTTCGACGAAGGCAAGCCCCTCGGCTCCCATGGTTGTGCTCGCGGCAGGCTCCAGCCGTGGCGTTCGCAGATACGGAAACGTCTGCGCCAATTTTTGTTAAACATCTTCCTGGGAGATGTTAAATGCTGGACGTTGTCGAAGTCGAACTTCGGCGGATTGGGCGCAGCTTCGGCGGATTGGGCGCAGCTTCGGCGGGTAAGGGCGCAACTTCGGCGAATTCGGCTCACCTCTACTTCGAAGCCATTTTGCTTTTCAACGCCATGTTTTCATCGAGCCGCTATACGTTGCGACACCCAGAGCTCACGACGTGCACTTCTCGCCTGCAAATGTGCGTTACGTGCCTCGTGTTTCTCGTTT